GTGTGTGTGTGTGTGTGTGTACAGAACACTCGTGTGCTGACTAATGTTATTGGGTCACCCAGAGCGTGGGACCTGAACTGCTGTGAGCTGTGGGAGGCAGCTGCGTTCTGGGAAATGGAGTTCATGAGTGGACAGGGCGCAGGCTGATGCCGACAGGACACAGCACCACTTACACAAGTCCAGCTCCCAGGAGGCATTGGGGCATGGGACCGCGGCTCTTTACCATGTTAAATATATTTCTGCATTTGTAATATGTATGATATTCACTTACACCAGCATCTCAGACCCCCCCCACAAAAAAATGCTTAATTGCAGGGGTGGATCTAAGAAGTGTGGGCGGGGGGGCAGTGGCCCCTGAAGTGCCGCCGTCCTGTCAGTAAAACATACAATGTGTGTTTTTAAAGTGAGTTGTATTTGCTGAATTTATTTATATTTTATAATTCAAAGATTTAAGATGAAATTATGAACTTCATGTTTGACTTTTCTCCCATGGAAATTTTCGCCTTTTGAAAACTCGACTTCTGATCCTTCCGTCTGAAAGCATCACATGTTCAACAACAGTGGCATTGTACTTTAATCTGCATTCTCTCATCTGCACACTTCTGAGTTTGGCAAAGCCGAGAAACTACCATCAGTCAATTTGTGCATTTCAATGGCGCTCGCTGTCTAATAAGCCTGATCACTTTTCTTTTGAGTCTGTGGGTCTAACAAGGAAACTGGCTCAGACCCACAGAGTCCAACACTTCTCATCTTGTCCAACATGAATCAGTGATTGAAAGCTATTCTCATTAGGCGCTCGTGGAAAAAAAAAAATTAATCAAATTCCTTCTCTTCCATGTCAGACAATTCTCTTAAAAGCCATTAAAATGCATCTGATGAGATTCAGTGTCGTCAATTAAGCAGGGTGAGAATTTATTATGGAGACGGTAAAATTGGACGTAACTGGCAGGTGCGATTATGCCTGAGATTTCCATTTCTCACTGCAAATTCTCAGTCAGCATCTCATCGAGAAATCCAATTAAGACTGGAGTGACCTCTCTCAGTGTGTGTGTGTGTGTGTGTGTGTGTGTGACACAGAGCCACCATTTTGGTTGTGGCTATGCCAATCAAATCCAGTTTACAGGTCATTAGTGGCTAAGCCATACTCCAACCAGCGGTACTTTAGTGCTAATTAAAGAGAGTAATTAAAGAATGTTTGTTTTTGACTTTTATTTAGTTCATTGGAGTGTGTGAAGTCTGTTCCTGTGAGCACATGAAAACAAATAAAAAGTTCAGGGTCTGATGGGTTGTAAGAATAGGTTGAATGAAAAGAAACTAAAGCGCAGAACTCCTGCCGGTGAAGCTCCAGAAAAAATCTATAAGAAGATTTATGAAGACAAAGAATAATGAAGATGCATAGAAAGAGCTTGCTAACAAAATCAATATCTGCGGCAAATGTAAGAAGTAAAATTTGGCACAAGACATATCGCTTTAAATAACGCATCGATCATCAAACCAGTATTTTAACATTAATTTCACAAGTCTCAAGAGGACTTTACATTTTCACCAATCTCCCAGAGGGCTGCACCCACACCTCACAGACCTCTCCAAAATAAATACAAGCATATTTTATATTACACTTTTCAGGCGGGAATAAAAGTGACGATGATTGATTTTTACTTATAGTCAACTTTACTTTCAGTCCTTTAATGGTAACAGATCCAGAGAAACAGAGGACGACTGTTCACAGACAGTGTTCGGAGTATTTCAGCTGGAAGAGCCAGTAACAGTAACAGCACGTGTTTGTTTCCTTGATCCAAATGGGACAAATCACCTACGCCCGTCACTTTCCAAACCCGCTGTAATTGCAGCAGCAGAAGCCACTTGGCCAGCAAAACTGCAGAGGTGGACGGGCTCAGCGTCACATTTGATTTAAGAGGCAGCGAATAGAACCAATTAGTCACTTTGGCCGGGGATCAAACGGCTATCTGTGCCTGGGAAAAAAACGGGCCTCCTGTCCAATTAACAGAATTTATGGACAGGGCTACGGTACCGCCGGGCCACGTGAGGTAATTTGTTGGGTTTGCTGCAGTTGCTGACATTTGATGCCGATGAAAACGACAGATTTATAATTTAAGAGGAATGGACTCAATTATTAATGTGGTAGGTAAATGTTGCTGAGTGTATCTTTAGATAATGGACCCTCTATCCAAACAACGCATCCATCCACACCTCATCTGATGCAGCCAACCGTGACCCGGTGGAGTTGAGACTTACTTGTGCGCAGGGCGGAGGGCGTCACCTCGATCTCGCTGGCCCCCTGGTACGGCTGGAAGGCTGAAGCTCCGCTGCCGGCGCTGAGGTCTGCCGCAAACAGGTCGGGGCTCTGGGTCCCTGTGGAGCTGGCGCTGGTACCGTCGCCTCCATGATGGGGCTCCTGTTCATCGTACACTGCTATCAACTGGAGGAGGAAGGAAGAACACGGGAGGTCGGATGTTAAGTGACATGAAACTTTAGGGTTGTCAACACGCTAAATCGCTGAGTATTCACAGAAACAAGAAAACTGGGAAGAAGAATTTATTAATAACGTTTTTACTTTGTATTTGCAGGAGGAGTTGCGATATTATGTTGAAGAGACCAAACTCATGTTGTGTGAGGCCACTGTGACCTTGAACTTAGACCACAAAACTCAAATCAGTAAATCCATGAGTCTAAGTGAGTCTAAACCAAATTCTAAAGGGTTATCTGGAGCTGATTTTAAGATAATACAATCACCTCACCATTAACCTCGGACCCCCCAAATCTAATCGGTTTATCTGTAAGACCAAGTTAACAGTTTAACCACATTTGGAAAGAATCAGAGTGACCGTGAACTTTGACCTTTCACCACCATAATCTAATAAACTCATTCTTTAGTCCAAATTAACTCCTGTAACTAATTTAAAGACATTTCCTTAGTGTGTACTTGAGAAACTCTGTTCACAAAATACGGACGTATGTACGGACATTTGGACGAACGGAAATGAACTCCGGCTCCAGAGGCATAAAAACGAACTTAATGAAGAACTGGATCAATAAAAACCATTAAAAAACGTAACATGTGACTTTGTGAACAGAGATCAACACCTACAGACCAAGACTGGTGGTCCAACCTGCTCCAGTCACTTATAATCACTGAGAGTAAATTAAATCCTGGTGCACAACACACGGCCGTCCTCATCAGCTCTAATACACCAGGACCACACGTACAGTGCAAAAGAATACAGAGTGGATTTAGAGCCTGGATTTTACGTTACGAGCCTGAGGTGCTCATTACGTCCAATCAAATCCTCTCTTTACTCAGGGTGTCTCCTCGTTTCCAAATCTTTAGGTTGAAAGCTCTTCTCCCTCAGAGATCTGATTAAATCCAGCCTCTGACTCCCTTTATTAGATTATAGATGAGATTCGTGTTGTCCCTCTGTGACTCCCCCCGGGCCTGAGAGTGTGTTCAGCTGGTTTCAGTCAGCCGAGGAGAAAATGAAGAGCCCGTCCAACATTTGCCAATTCAGAGGATGTGATCTAACTCTCCCACATGGTGAGATCTAATGCCGAGCCCCCCCCCCCCTCCCCCACGACTTGCAGCATCTCATCCACATTAAAAGCTAATGGGGATGTTCTGCGGCTCAAACATCTTCAGGACATCACTGCAGTTCATCTGGCTTCGTTTACTTCACCCTGGCCAAGATTGTGAAACTCAACAGAAGGTTCATCAATTTCACTTTTGCTTCAAACACAAATATATTCATCTTGTGAAGAAGCCCCATCGGTAAAAGAACGCACAGTGAACTCACAGATCTGAAGACTGAGTTCCTGTGTGTGGAGCAGACAATGCTTTGCACAAGGCTACGGCATCGTCTGCAGACTCATGAGGGTAAAATTGGTGAATTCAAATAACCTGTGTGATACTGAATTCTGATTTTAGGGCCTATTTTTAACATGCAAATCTTTTTTTTTTTTTTACGTGTGTAAAAGACAAGGCACCACTCCAAAGTTATGTGAATGCTTCTTAACAGCATCTTCAAACTCCAGATGAAAAGAACTAAATGCAAAAAAAGGAAAAACACTTTGAGGCCATTTGCTCCCACGATGCTCAGTAAGACGCAAACCGTACGCACAAATGTGGTTGAATAGAAAGAGATGCATCAGCACACACACACACACACACACACACACACACACACAGTTACATTCAAAGACACCCACACAATCCATTAAAACACACACACACACCATTCAAATCCAACCACCCGTTTTCCAGCACATTAAACCTTCATTTCTGCAATATTTAGTCTGAGAGCTGTGGAGTTTTATAGCACACTGGACAGGCTCCCTGGTGAGAGGAACTCTCGAGGGCTCACACACTCTCTCACACACACACACACACACACA